GCAGAATGAGTAAAGAGCAACACTGACTCATTTGCAGTCACAAGGTGTTGATGCATATGGATGGGCAGCACGGTTTCTGCTGCATATAGAGCAGTGTTTTCCATACAACAGGAAACCTCTTCAAACACAGCTGAGCGAAGGCTTCGTTTCACCAAATGTAAATCAATTAGGGCTAGAACATGAGAGCCGGTGTGTCACACTGCCACTTTGTCTGCTCTCTGTCCAGTGTCTACTCTCCGAGATAGGCTGGTGCCGGGAAGACTGCCAACTACATACACACCATGACTGGGCAAACACTGCTCCCCAGGCCGTGTTATGCAGCTGACTGCAGATGCAGCCCCAAGCAATCACTGGTATTTAATCAGTGCATTTGCCACACCTAGTTCACGTTAACGCTGTTAGTTATAATCTATTCAATCCATTTATCCAGGTTAACCACAATATATCCTTTCAACATGTCAGTTCCAGGCTCTCCCCCAGGAGAGCCAAGGTGGTGGGCCACCCAGCACTCATGATCAATCTGCACAGCAATTGCCTAAACACCTATTAAATATGTGACAGTGGCTGGATGAAATACTACCTCTGAGAATGATTAGTCGATTCATCATTCAACAGAAAATTAATTGGCAACTATTCTGATAACTGAACAGTTTCACCCATTTTTCAAGCAAAAATGCAAACGATTCTCTAGTTCTGGCTTCATGGCTTGTTCACTGTTTTTAAAGATTTGGTAGATTAAATGATTAATCAAAAAATAATCACTGGATTAATCTATCTATACTGAAAATAATTATTAGTTGCAGCCCAAGGAATAACTCCCCTGCTCTGTTTCCCTGAAGGATGATTAAGGATGATAATTTTAGGACGATAGCAAAGATGGTATTTATTTCAGGCGAGGTGGTCCACCTCCGCTCTACAAAACCCCAGGAAATTAGTTTCTTTTAAGTATGTAGGTGGAGATAAAGAGTACATAACATTCTACTGGCTAGATTAGGGCTAAGTAACTAACCTCACTTCTCCTTTGGCACCAGCCAAAACTGAAATGTGCCAATAGCATTGAGTATCACAAACTGTCAAGGGCCAAAAGATGACATCAGATGTTTGATGGGATTCAAAATCTTGTTTAAAGCTCATGGTATGAATACATTTTCTGTAATTTTACTATTCTAATGAAACAGTTTCTGTACAACTGCATATGTTTAAACTAGAGTCTAAAACTCTCAGACAGTAACTTACACAGGAAGTTGTGCTGTGCAACCTCTGTAAAAGAGCGGTGAAGAACAATTGATGTCCAGTAAATAGTGTTAAACCATTAGCAAAATGTCAGCAATTTGGCAAAATGTTACACTGGGAAGTCCCACCAGTAAAAAGGTAACATATACAGTGTGCAAGGCTCTTATTTGGAGGGGAGGCAATCGTGTTAGAACAACTAGGAAGTGTTATTTATTCATTTCTTATGATGGACAGTCAAATTAGATAATAAAAGAAAGATTATATGTTATTCATGTATCTGACTAAGCCATGCCATAGGACAATGAAAGTAATTATATCCTATCCATACAGGGTTAGTAGTATACAGCTGTTATATCTTTTTTTTTTTTTTTTTTTTTTTAAACACACTGGTATCAGATCAGTACTTGGTATCAGCAAATGCAAAAGTTCAGGAATCAGAATCGGTACAGAATTGTACAAAATCCACTGTATCAGCACTACTATAAAAAAATAAAAAAAAACTCAACTCTGGTGTCTTTTTTATTTAAATGTGACTCTATCATAGAACAATGAGAAACCACAATTCTTGGCTTAAAACGCTCTTATCAGCAGCCTTGCCTTGCTGAAGTGTCCTTGAGCAAAAACCTTAATCCCTATCAGCTCCAGGATTGCTTCTCTGTACCTGACCTCTGACTCTCATGTAGAGGAGAATGGTAAAGGAAGGAAAAAAAAGAAGAAGCACCTTTCCCTTTAGGCATCAATGAAGCATCACATTTAAACTGAGGTAGCTGCTGTAGCCCTGCCTAAGCTTACACAGAGAGTGACCAATCTCAATGGCATCTTGATAACAAATCCCAGCGAGGTTTTTATTTAATCGGCTCTGCAGAAAAATGAATCTTTAGCTTGTTTACAACATTACGTGTCAGCCAATATGTATGAAAATATAAATTTCAGGTGAGAAGAATGGGGAATAATAGATTCATTACAGCACTGTATTTTCCCCAGAGCAGTCTTAAAGTCCATGATATTGCTTTTTCACACCTGGGGATTTGTCTGCGTAGCTGTTCATCGAGCAAGTCTACAGCATTTCTCTTGAGGTATTCTTACAAATTGTTTACTTAGCATATGAGTGGGACAAGGGGAGAGTGGTTTAAACTGCTAGGCTGAGTGCAGCAAGGTTTCTGTGTGTGTGTGTGTGTGTGTGTGTGTGTGTGTGTGTGTGTGTGTGTGTGTGTGTGTGTGTGTGTGTGAGGAACTTTAGGTCTCTGAGGCCACGAGCCTCTGAACCCCTCCTCAGAAGCAGCGGGCCTCGTGCCAAATCTGTTACTGCAATTACTTTTGACAGCAGCGCCTTCATTGTCCAGGAAGGTGGGTATCCCTGCGCTAAGCAACGCTGACCACAGGCGTTAGAGAGATTTGTGTAGGCAGAGTATTGCAGCATGCAGCATGCAGCACGCTTGCTTCGCAGCCTTGGTGAAACCATCAAGGAGAGTATATTCTTTAGTGCACACGTAGGCGTTTCTTTTGTGTGGTAATGAAACTGAGGCAAGACTTAGTTAAAATGAGTAGGAGAGAAGAGATATTGTGCAAAATGCCTGAAAGGATGCAAGGAGTGGTTATACAGTAAATATGGAAAAAATTGCACGCTGCCTCCATGCAGCTTACTGAGGTTCAACGTTCATTCATTCCACTCCTGGCAAACGTGTTCACCGATGTTTCCAACCTCAGACTGTGGTCCCTACACCTTTCCAGGAATCTGCCATAGTTCCTGTCCCCGAGAAACCAGTGGTGTCCAGTTTAAACGCATCAAGTGCTTCCAGCGACTACTCATAACCCACATCTGTTCCTCCCTTTCGGACCCTATTCAGTTAGCACACAGACCAAACAGGACGACACACACTACGCTGGACAAAGGGAATACATGTGAGAATGCTTTTCATTGATTACAGCTCAGCATTCAAGACTATAATTCTCTCAAAACTCGACTCTAAGCTCACTAATTTTGGACCGGAGATGTCCATCCTGCAGCTGGATATTCGACTTCCTGGCGGGCAGGCCGCAGGTGCTGAGAATCGACAGCCACACCTCCTCCACGCTGACAGGTGTAACGCAGGGTCGTGTGTTTGTGTGTTCAGTTCCAACATCGTCATTAAGTTGGCTAGACTGCACGACCATCCTGGAGGGATGAGAGGGCCTACAGAGAGGATTTGAAGACACTTGCCAGCCAGTGCCAGGAGAGCGACCTCTCTAAAGAAATTATCGTAGATTACAGGAGATAGCAGGAGGGGTGGACATCTCCCCATCCACATTGGTGATGCTGAGTTCAAAAGTCAGCACCTTCAAGCTCCACGGCGTGCACAACACCGAAGACCCCTACTGGCCACTACAAACGTACACTATGGTTAAGAAAAACGAGGCAGCGACTCTATATCCTGAGGAGACTGAGGAGGTTCGGCATGAACGGCTGCATCCTCACGAACTTCTGCTGGTGCACCATCGACGGGCTGCACCACAGTCTGACACGGGAACTGCTCTGTTTATCTGCGCTGTCTACCGTTTACTGCACTGCTTACATAAAAACCATGACTGCTGCTATTGAACCAGGACTGCTACATACCACACCACCTTATCACCTTTACTTTTACACCTTTTCATATATGAATATAGTGCTATATTTTATTCAAATCTCCTCCCATTTTTAATTTATATTTTACACGGCTAGTGCTCTTATTACTGACCTGACCCGTTTTGTCGTCCAGCACATTTTACTGCACCATTGACCCTGTGCTAACCTACATATGACTGATAAAACTGAACTGACCTGAATTAGTCTCAGGTGTTTGAGCATTTGAGCACCTTTAAATAGGGCTGCAATTGAATAAACAGAGACTGTACCGTAAGGTGTCTCTACCCGGTTTGCCTCTCAGCACTACACTTAATCCATGCATTGCAATGTCATACTGAGCCTACAGCTGGAAACAGGGTTGTGTTGCTGCTGTTGCTGCTGCTGCTGCTGCTGCTGCTGCTTCAATAAAAAGGAGTTGGATATTTAAGGAGGATTAGTGTTTTGGAGTGCAACTAGATCACTGGGATATGTCAGGAAATCATCTATTTGGGATGTTTGATTTGGAGTTTGTACACTTTGCCATGCAGACATCAGTTTATGTGGGACAGACTACAGGTTTATGTGTTGTGTAAGAACCCTCCCACTAGGAAAGAGATGACTTTGCGCGCACATACAGAAGATGAAATCAAAAGATGGTAGACTGTTGTGTAATATGTTGCGATTCTGTGAACAACTGCAACCTGATGTGTGTTATATTTCCCTGCAATATTTCAATTTGTATTGTTGCACCTTGTGTGGCTGTGGTGTCCCCTGGGGATGTTAACCTGGTGGCACTGAGATGCATCTGTTCAAACAATAATAATGATGATTATAAACATGACATGTAGTGCAGATTCCTTTATTATTCTTCCCTGCACCAGCTTAGAGTAACCTCAGAGGGAAAACATACCTGAAGTACCCTAACACTCTGACAGGAGCTTGCACTGTGGTTGAGACATTTGTGGAAGTTCTTCTAAAATGTGTAACAGAATCATGTGTGCACCTGTGCCCATCTCCTAAAATGACCAATCAGAACAGCAGCTACCTCTGCAGTAGCATGTTGCAGAAATCTGGCACAATTACTTTTCTATGCCACACAATTAAGATCATGAAAGCCTGTTAGCATGGAAGGGGGGGGCAGGGTGGGAGGAAGGGAGAGTGGGGGGGGGGGGGGTTCCCTCACCATATGAAAGCGCCGCCACACAGATGAGGAGAGTCCATCTGAAATCCCGTACACCTGTCATGGTAGAAATCCCAGCGGGTGGATGTAAAATCCCAGTTGTTCCAGTGGCCGATGTTGGATAAACAAACCTCTCTGCGGGTGTTAGCCTCCACACGATGCTGTTGCAGTTCTCCCAAGGGTCTTAAGTTTGATAATGCGCAATAGAAAGATGTGTTATCTGCGCGTTAGTGTATGTGTGTGTGTGTGTCAGACAGCGTGTGTGACACCTCACTCCAGGGGCTTCAGAAATGTTATTGCCCAGCTACAGTCTATACAGTGTCTTTGCGAGAAGCAAATCTAAGGCACGGCCAAACCGCGTCTTCTCCAAGCAAAAGACAGCGGTTTTTTCCACATGGGAGAAGAAAGTTAAGAGTATCCTGCTCCAAATTGGGCAACAAGGGAGGAAAAGAAACCCAGTGTTCCTGAAACGGATCCAAGTCCTTGCGCGAAAGCCGACAAATACCCCCCCAAAAATCATAAATCAGTGGACATCAGTGGAGAGATGACGCGCGTCCTGGCTCAAAACACAGGGATCCTGCGCGTTTAACCCAAAAAGGAACTAGATTAGTCTGAATAAAAAGCAGGTGAGAAACGCCATGAGAATGTATCTGTGTGAATACTCATTCTCCAATTAAAAATTCAAACATGAAAATTCCTTGCGCAAATCGTGGACACGGTGATGGAGAGGAGGGCGAAGAGAGGCATCCGACTGATCCGCACCGCTCTGCTTCAGCTGTCACTGACTTCCTCTGGATTCATTTAAACCCCACAGCCGAGAGAAGAAGGTGGAAATAACATTGTGAGCTGTTCACGGTGAAATTTCACCCACATAACCCACATGAAAAGCTCCGGGGGTTGGCTGCGAAGAAAAAGAAGAAGAAGAAGAAGAAAAAAAAAGGAAAAAAAAAAAAAAAAAAACTCGCTTTTTCCCTCAGGTTTCCAGTAGTTCACCTACCGCAGCGTGTTGCGACAGTCGCTCAGCCGGGAATCGTCATGCTAACATTACAAGAGCAAGGAATGTCCAGAAAAACCTCCGCGACTTTTCTTATTCCGTTTTACTTTGTGATGTTAAGCACGGGAGCCGGAGCGGAGCATCGTCGGTGCCGCTTTACCGGAGTCTGAAACACAGCCAAGTCCGACGAAACTCTCTGTTTCGGTGTTTGAATCCCAGTTATCTGACTTGACCGCACCTGTCTGCGGTGTTCCTGCCGGGTACGGAGCTAATTTAGACGCTGTCTTCACCAAAGCAGCCGTGGTCCGGGTTTTTAACTCCGCTCCAAACTAAACGTGTTCACCTTAAAACACACAGAGCAGTAGCTCGCGCTCGTTAAGCCCGCTACAGCGTAAAAGACATATCCGGTGAGTACTTTCAAAATAAAACGTAAAAGTAGATTTTTTTTTTTGTGCAGGCTGTTTTCATCTTGAGCAGCGTTATCCAGTAGTTAAATACATTCACAGTGTCTTTGTATTCAATACTTATAGACATACACATAATACTGATAATCATAATGCCATCATTATAATTATTAATATTAACATTACTGTTATTATTATACTAATTATTATTATTCAGTTTATTATATTATTCATTTTATTATATTTGCTGCTGCTGTTTACAGGCTTATATGCTAAGATGATGCAATGAAAGCATTAAAATCAAACCAAAGTCTGGGTTTAAGGAGAGATTTGAGAGAAAATATTGACTGTAGGTTTAGGACTGATCCCTAATAACCCCTAATTTGTGGTCCATAATAGCAAACACATTATAAAAGACTCACAAATTAAACCTTTTTCAAAATGACTTGAAAATAGACTTTTATAAGAATGTGTTTTAGGCTTCAGCTGAAATTCCTTAAGCTTGTACATGTATTTTCAGGCTCAAGACCTCTGGAGTTCATTTTAGTCTGAAAATCAGGCTAGTAACCCACCTAAATGAGGTGGTTTATTATGCTTTTATTTTAAAGGAGAGACTGCTAAATTCCGGTCTCGTCCATGTTCGGTCTGGTGAACTTGATGCAGCTAAAACCGGGCATCACAGACAAAAATTTATCACGTGAGTTGCTTACCCGCCTCCTCTTCATCAAAGGGGAAAGTATCCTACCAAAGAAAGAGCAAACGCTCCTGCCTAGTCACGGCTTCATTTGAGCGCTGCCAGGCAGACTGGCCCTTATTTTGGTAGGGGGCCAGTAAGAGTCTCTCATACTCTATATCTGTCTTTTATTTACAGCATCAGTACATTAAAGGATAGGCTCACATTTTTTCAAGTCTGTCTTAAAACAATAGTGAGGTGCCTACAATGAACAATGTTCATATTGGACATTACATGATCCCTTCCCAATCAGATTTTAGTGTAAATTTTGAGACATAATCTATAGCCCCACCTGTTTTCAAAAATGTCTTCAAATCTTCATCTAAGGCTAATAAGAAGCTTCAGCTATTCAGCTTAGACATATCTTCTAAAGTTAATACTATCTTTCCACTGCAACAGGGAAACACTGACTTTGGAGAGACGGAAGGGATTTTCAAAATAAAACAAGTATAATTTTGGAAGAGATAGCTTCCGAGAAACTTTTCCCACTAAACAAGGACTGTGGATTTTGTGCCCCATCACTTACACTGAAAGAGCCTCAGGAGGGAATCTTGTAATGGGCTGTATGAACAGGAGGAACGATTAGATCAGGGGAAACCTGTTTCATTGTACATATGGGCACCTGACTGTTGTTTTAAGACAGACTTATTTTAATTATGAACCTATCCTTTAATATTATTAAGCATTGTGAGACTTTAATAGGCATCCGAGTTTTCTCACAGCTAACATAGACAATGGTTGCATTGCATATAGGTGTATTAGTTACTTTGTATTCCACATGCTCTGACTGGTAAGTGGAAATGTTATCATATTATGTCATACTTATGCTTTGAATATCATGAAATCTGAATAAAGTGAAATGTCTACTATGAGGTTACAAACAGAGTCCAATAAGTCAATTATAATAGCCCTCTTCACACATGGAAAACATAATGCTACAGGTGAACTTACATAAATGTTGCACAATGCCCTCATTCATACATGGAAGGCCATTAAGTGTGCGATAGGAATCAGTGAAAAAAATAGCATTGAGATGAAAAATTATATTGAAAAGGAAGATTTTTTCTCAGCCGTCTAACGGAGATGGATTTTACCGATTTGGCCATTCTCCTGTTTATTTTATTTTACAATATCTAACAGTGCACACACACACACGCGCAGGGGAACAGGATGTTAAGTTGGGACTCTCATTTAATTCCTATTTGCTCACATGCTATGTCGTAGTTATTTTGCCATATTTCACTCCTGCAGTTATGATAGATTAAAACAAATGTAGGGAGACTGCTTGTCCAATTATCACTGGTGTCTTTTCCTCTCTGTTTAGGAGGATAATATAGTTACACACTTAATCTGACAGGAGAAGAATATCACCAACTTGAAACTGAGGGAATAACAGAAATGTAACAGGTGTGATTTAATAAAGGTCTCAGCATGGTTCCTGCACCGATCCATCTCTCTCTCTCTCTCTCTCTCTCTCTCTCTCTCTCTCTCTCTCTCTCTCTCTCTCTCTGTATCTCTACTCTGAGGCTCTGTGCACACTGTCCATAATATAATCTTTACGTGAGCTGCTCTCTTGTCTGTGCAGGGGCTGCCTTTGCTCTCTGACACTGTAGTGTGAGCTGTGGACAAATGTGCAGAGGGACATGGACACATGGGAAGGCCTGGAAGTTAAAGAAAGCAGGGAAGAGCTGCACCTGACACTTGGCTATTTAGCTATTTACTTTCTTGTTCTTATTGTTTCTAATCGGGTCAACAAGGAACTTTACGCAGTATTCACAGCTGCAGACCATCACATGGTGGTCTGGTCCACATGCCAGCAGCAATAACGTAATTGCAGAGGTTTGCAGCTGCAAGTTTGCCGAACCATGCAGCAACTTAAAAGTGACTCAGACCTTTGGTCAGACACAAGACCAACATATAAAATTGCCAACACATTTACATTTTAAACACTTGGTTTAAATGTAGCTTTTGGAGTTGGTTCCATTGTGGTAAATGTCTGTTTGATGTTGGGCACAAAGAGCTAGTCATGATTACTCTTAACCTCGTATTCGTCGCTTATTGTTAAAGGCAAGTTAACACTCTAGCAGAGCAAGCAAAAGTCAAAATTGCTGGACTTCAAAATGTCATAAATCTTTAATTTCTTCCTTGTAGCCTGTTTATAATGCAGAAAGATGCACATCTCATTGTCTTTTTTTAAGGGCCGCTAACAGGCACATAGATCCTACTGTGCCCCCCCCCCAAAAAAAAAACTGTGTTTGTTAAGTTTCTCAGCTTTAGCAGCTAATTTATCAGGATCACTTATGCAAATCAAGTCACTTGCAATTTTCCAGTTAGAGCACCTGAGCCGCAGCACAGCAGCAGCAGGCAGCCAGGTGAGAGAGCAGCCTGTGGTTCCCCACTGAGGCTGGGGGAAGACAGGCTGCTGCAGGCTTCACTGCTGCAGGTATGACATGACTGCTAATGGTTTGTTAATGCATTTGACTCCACAATCTGTCATTGCATCCTCTGACATTTACAAAAGACTAATTGTCAAATGAAGGACTTATTTCTGTAAACTTGTGTGCCTCTGAAAAGATAAGGGTCCTTTATGGTGATGAGTCACGATATGCTTCCCTGGGGAATTTAATACCACTTACAATTACACATGATAACGGCCTTGTTTTCAACTATTTACCAAAGTCAAATCTTGCACCTTCCCATTGTCACCTCAAAAACTAAATACATTAATTTTGTGAAATGTGCTTACAGATTCTCTCACCAAGTGTGGACCACATGTCTGTGCGTGGATTTCTTGTGCTCACAGGTTTTTATATTTAGTCAGATTTGCTCCTTTTGATGCAGCGTAATGGATTAATATCACAGCTGGTTGTACTCAACAGTCCTTGGTATTACTGAGCGCAGTTGTTTGATGCAGGCACTAGTGTGTTAGCTATCACA